CCCCCCACCCCATGAATGTATATTTACCCCCTGGCAAGGCCACCCTTCTGCGGTGTCCCATCCCATAATTTGGCATTTATACCTTAGAGCACACGGATGCCCGGAAAATTATTTTGGGGGGGGGGGGGGGGGGGGGTGCATTTCACTTGCAAAAGAGAAAGGGTTAGCGGATGGTGACTGTCCTCTGATCTCTGAAATGTCTCGAGGCCTCATGACGACCCATGTGACTCGGCTCGACACCGTTCATGTGTCACGGTGACAAGGACGCTCGTGCGAAAAGGAAACTGGTGCCGATCCAAACTGTAAAATAATAAGAAAATCTAAATGGAAAATCCTCGGAAGCTCTCAGTTCATGAGGTCCGTTCTCGTTACGAAATCCACGCGCTTGTTAAATCCCCCGCCAGCCTCGATGCGGAACGAGTGAGGTTTCGCTTCGCGGCTGAGACGGTAATCTGACTTTGCAAAAGAGGACCCAAGTTTTAAACCCGGGAGGGGGGAGTATGAGCTGAGGTGTGGTTTGTTTTGGTTGCAGCAGGCCCCTGTCTCCACGACTGGCTGTCTCGCTCGGCCCCCAGGACGCGACTCGATCTGTGTGCTAAAGCGTGACACCTTAACCTGATCCGTAAGGGTGCCTTTCCTCCTCCTCGCTTCTGCTTTAGCAGAAGAGAAACAGATTGTCCGTAATCTTTTGCAGAAGCACATTTCCGTGGACTTTAACGTGCCCCCCTTCCGCCACGACTGTTTTCCATGGCGCTGAAATGCTGCTCGGTTAACTCCTATATGCAGCCGTTGTCTCCTTCAGTTCTGTTCCTCTCTTTTCAAGCGGGCAGAGAGATGGACAGAGGTGCCGACGAGGACCCGAGTGACCTCATCTCCTCACCGCCGCTTTGCCCTGTTTCTCCTGCAGGAAATGGGTATGGAAACCATCGCAACTCCCCCGGCCTGCTGGTCTCGCCGGGGGGCCTGGGCAAAGGCATGCAGGCCAAGTCCCCCCCGCCCATGAACCTAGGCATGAACAACCGCAAGTCGGACCTGCGCGTCCTCATTCCACCAGGCTCCAAGAACGCCATGCCCTCCATCGTGAGTAGACACTCCGCGACTTCCATGTGCAGCCGACCCGTCCCAAATCAAGCACCTCTTTTGTTTCTTGTCCTTATTTGTTCTTATAAGTTCCCTTTCCATCTGTCTGTTAGCTAAGATTTTCTATGTCATGGCAGCGTCCTGGGCAGTGCGTTATACGCACTTTCTGAGAAAGACATAGTAACGCACTGTAAGGTTCGGTTCACCCTGTCCGCAACACCGGCACAGCTGTTACATCGGACGTCCCTTGGAGAAGCTACACACGTTAGATCTATGCCGGGCCCCACCCCCGGTCCCCCCACCCAAAACCACACAGCCACCAATCACGCTAATTTCAATCTACCGCCCCTCCTCTTCATTGCCGCCAGTCTGCGGATGTTGACCTGCGATTGGTAAATGGGGCAGCAAAGATTAGAGCCCATCCTTAAATTGACATTTAAGAGGCAGGGGGCCTGGGAGAAATTAAATAATTTAGATAAATCAGTAGGGCTTCGCTTTTATAACAAAGCACGAATGTGGCCCCGTGGTCTGTGGCATGTGGATCACATTTGGCCGCCGTAGGAGCTTGTTTGAGTCGAGGGCGACACCTAGTGGTACATAAAAGCAGACACACTTGTCCCCACCTGTCTGCTGTCACCCCATCCACTTCTTACTCTCCCACTTGTAACAGCTGACGCCATTATCTCCAAATCTGTTTATATATTGAAATAAAGGTAAAAGATCAGAAGGAGTTTGTTTAATCTCATCGACCTCACATCATTCCTGTCACCCTGCACAATAAAGGAGCCCTACCAAGGCCCTGTTACCAAGGAGACAGTGATGTATGGGTTACTATAGCTACAGTGAGACCTCAGGGTTGGCAGAGATCAGCATGATTTATTCATTTCAATGCATTTGCATCCTGTTGATTTGTTTCAACTTTATAAAAGGGCATATATACTGTTTATTGTACATCCACAGTGATATTTATTTGTGCGCTCACTTTTATTGCAGAACCAGAGAATAAATAACTCACAGTCTGCACAGTCATTGGCTACGCCAGTTGTTTCTGTAGCAACGCCAACTCTGCCGGGTCAAGGAATGGGAGGTTACCCATCAGCCATCTCAACCTCCTATGGTACTGGTAAGTATAGCTACTCTGACTATAGACATTAACAACAGCACTGAAGGTGATACGGGGGCTAACTTTTTGAGCCCTGTTGCCTGGCAATGTTGAGTGAGACATAGGACGACTGATCAAGGCTACAAACAGTTGGCAACAACCAATCAGAGAAAAGCAAATCTATTGCAAGGGAGACAGACACCGCAAAGATGGCAGCAGAAGCTCCAAGTCGGTCATGTGATCGGCTGCTAGCATCGGTCACTGAAAGCAAAATTGTCCAGATGGAAATTTGTTGCCCATTCTCAATGGGAAAGTGCCCTAACAGCCGCCAATGCCCAAAAAGTTGCCCCATGTATCAAAGCCACTCAGAGTGAACTTCTACTGACAAGTTCCGCTTTTTGGTTTGTGCCTGGTTTCTGAACAGCTTCATATTGCTTAAAAACTACGAATTATTATATATTGCAGATTGCTGTTCTTCTTGTACTTCGCAAATAACCTGTGGTTGTTTTGTTCCGATTCAAAACAAACATATACTTCATTAAGTTCAGAAGTGCCATGTGTGCGTCAAATTCTAGATTATCCCTCTAACCTTTTCACTGAGCCAGTGATGTTATGGAAACGTCGGGCTGGATCAGTGGATAAGAGCCTGTCTTTCAGAGGAAATATCATGATGGTGGAGTGTCACAGTTTTAATATCTGTGACACAGAAAACACACAAGATCTATTAATCGTAAAAACCCAATTGCAATCTCAATTGAAACGTCTAAATGATGTCATAGTGTCATAAAAGATGCAGTTCTTTATTTAGGGTACATTAAATGCAGTTTCCTTTGGGCACACAGGAAATCGTCCAAATATTAACTAATTTCAATTAATATTGTGCATTTCCCCTTTAACGTGTTTCAAATGTTATGAATTGTATGGTAATAAGGTTTTTTATATAGATAAAAAATGTGACAAACATATTGTAAACAGTCCCTGGGGGCGTTGAAAGCAGCTGAAGAGTATTGGGGGTTTGTTCTTCTCTCGGCGTAACATGTCATGTCCCCCCCCCCCTACAGAGTACTCCCTCAGCAGCGCAGACCTGTCGTCACTCTCGGGCTTCAACAGCGCCAGCGCGCTGCACCTGGGCTCGGTCACGGGCTGGCAGCACCAGCACCAGCAACAGCAGCAACACGTCCAGAACATGCAGCACTCCAGCCTGGCCCATCTTGGGTAAGTGGCCCGGGAGAACCCGGAGTCCGCCCTTATTGGCTAGCTCTTACCCACGCCCGCTTAACATCCCCTCACGCGACACGCCCATCCAAGGCCTCGCTTTTCCATTGGCTCTGATGGCCGGCCATGCAACCAATCGCCTCCGGGACGGGCCCTGTTCGCCGCTGTAACTCTCTTGGCATGTGTAGCTACTTCTCGATGAACATCTGGCAACCCGAATGAGGTTACTGTATGAGCACGAGGCAGAGCGTCTCAGATTAAAGTGGTGGGGTTTAAATACATATTTGGGCCCCACATCTAGGCCCCCGCCTCTCCGAAGGCCCCCCACTCTCAGCAGCAAACAAAAGCGAAAGGCCGACCCAAAAGAAGGGCATAATTAAACCAGTGGTTGGCGTAATTTGGGCCTCAAACACACAAAGCCATCTGGTTTGGATAAGCCCCCTTGTATTAATAAAGCATCTGTCCCAAAAAATTACAGCCAGCGCCCCCGAAATCTTAGACTCTTGAAAGCCAAGTCACCGTGAGTAAACAAAGAAAAAAGAAAAACAAGTTCACTCTGAACTCATGGCACCCGGTTGATGCAAAATTTTGGTGTATCTGGATTGTAGGAGTACATCTGCTTCTATGTAAGACACTTACTATCAAGAACTAATGGCTGAAATTGATCAAGTAGAAGAGCGAAAGGCTCTTCTTGATAAGTCCCTCTCAGTAGAGGGCGAGTATACCGACAATGCTACTTTCTTGTGTTTTGTAGAGCAGTATGCAGTATCATATGAACATTTCTTAACACTCGCATGGTTTTATGAAGTCTTTGCACTGCGTGTGTGCCTGTGTGTGTAAGTGTCTGACTGTGTGGCGGACGAATGCCGTTTCCTCACCCTGTAACCGAGTTTCCTTCTCTTCTACAGAAATTGCAATAGCACTCACTTATGTCAGAGTTCAAATCTGTCCCAGCCCTCTGCCCAAAGCCTGCACATCAAGTCCGAACCTGTTTCTCCTCCTAGAGATCGCTCCGCGGGCTACCCGCCGCCGCACCCGCCGCCGCCGCACCCGCACGTCCCGCTGCCGTCGCGCCAGGACGCGGGTCGCTCGCCCGCTGACAGCCTGAGCAGCTGTGGCAGCTCCTACGAGGGCAGCGACCGGGATGAACAGCGAGGCAGCGAGTTCCACTCCCCGGAAGAGCGCGGGAGCCCCACCGTCAAGCGCGTGCGCCTGTCTGAGGGCTGGGCCGCGTGAGCAGAGCGGACTCTCTTATTGGCCGGCTGACCGACACCAGGGCTCCGCCCCCTTGCTCGCCGCATGCTTCGGAAGGAGCCATGTTTTCTAAATTTAACTTTAGTATTGTAATTCTTTTTATTTTATTAATATTATTATTATTATTATTATTATTATTTTTCAGAGTGTGTGTGCTATACATATTACAGTGTTTTGGCGGACGGTCAGGGGTGCAACGTGTATAGGAGGCAGGTATGCGGACAAAAAACATTTGTACGTGCGTACAAAGCGTATTTACGGGAACGAACAAGAAGTCAGGTACTCTGTTTTGTAAAACTACTTTTCACAGCGGCGATATGGCGTGACTTGGCTGAGTAAACGAATGGAAGCGTACGCATGCACTGGGCCAGTGGGCTGGCTGTCTTCGCCACTGCTAGCGCCCCTCGCAGGCAGGAAGGCAGACCCATGCAGGATTCGCAGCACAATAGACAATGTCATGTTGCAGGTTCAACGTATTTATGTAAATAGAGGGAGGGAGGGGGGATCAGGGGTTTCAATGCTGCAGAACTTTGCAGATTTATTAACGAGGAAAAAAAAGTATTAAAGGAAAAAAAAAAATGCAGATATGCAAAATTTGAGGAATTACACAGGTATACGTGCAAGACCCACAGCTGGGGGCCACAGCAAATAAGATGTGTCTCTTGTAGTATGGAGCCTATTGGTTTTTGGATTTGGATGGAATCCAGTGAATGTGGACCATACTTTTCACCTGAGAGCCAAGCTGCTTACATGCTGGGAGTCTGGGTCACGCGTTGACGTGTTCAGTATGAGAGGGTCTAATGAGACATTTTGCTTATATTTTCATAAAAAAGAAAATTTAAACAAAAAAGAGGAATTGAAATGCAAAGCATTTGTGGCTTTTTGTAGTTTATATAAGCCAGAATGTGTTTTTGATAGCTTTGCTAACGTAAAAAAAAAAAAACCTAGAGGTTAAAAAATGGGCTTTTTTGTATAGAAAGAACGACCCTAAGCCATGACAACAGAAAAAAACAATGCTTTGCTGAACAAGTAACTGTTTTTTCTTTGTAGAGTTTTTTTGTTTGTTTGTTTGTTTTTAAAAGCGTATTTCTAATTATATATAATAATATTAAGAATCTTTAAAAATCTGTGAAATTAACATGCTTGTGTATAGCTTTCTAATATATGAGTATATATAATAATTATGGTTATAGCAAACATTGTTTTATCTAATTAATGGGGTTATATATGTGCATTTGCACATGTTGTCAGTGCTGTTTCGATAGACCTACAAACGAACCATTCAGGGGTGAATTAGTTTAACCTTAATAAGCAGCTGCAGAAAATGATCTGAATCTTTGTTTTAAAAAATGACTGATTCACGGAATGTCACTATTGTGGAATCTGGCTGGCTGTATTCACTACTGGTGAGACATACATGAACAGATGCACAATGCTTCCATGTTTAACGTGTTTGGCCAACGATAAAACGCTTTTTTTTTTTGTTGATACCCGAAAGCCTCTCTCTGACTAACAAAAGGACTGCTGGTGATGAAATGGCAAGAAAGTTGACCTGTTTGTGCTGCGCTATGTTGCGTTTCCATTACAGAGTTATACATTTAGGTTACAGCGCCACCGCCTGGGTGGAGAAGATACAAACAGTAATTATGCTTAAATTACCCAAAATACATCTAATGTCATTGTTTTCCTCCTTAGCCAAAATACATGGAATTTGTTCAGCGTCATGTAACATGCATTGTAATTTTGTTTCATTTGTATCTTAACTGAGAATTTGGACGCTGTCAGCTGTTTCTGTGGAAGGTTGCTGTGTCGCTGTATGGATTTTGATGAGTGAGGCCAGCCGCTTTCCATTGGACCCCAGTGTAATATGACAGATTCGAACCACACTGTCAGGAACTGACAAGCTGTTTCGAAGAAAAAGCACACCTTCTGATCAACCAGCAGGCATGTCACTGTCTGCCTGCTTAATTCTGAATCCGCCGTATCTCAGATGTTTAGCTGTTGCCTTGTGCAGTTAATACACATTGTCAGCGATCATACTCTATACATGCGCTCAAGATCAAGGGGGGCTGAGCCCTCAGAATCTTAGCAATAGTATTTATAAAGGTTCACTGTTGTTATTAATTCACACACATGCAGTTGTTATGATCAGTTCAGGTTACGGATGGATGCGCACACAGGTCACATATAAAGGATAAGTTTGTTTTATATCTACAAACACCCACCGAACAGTATTTATTATTGCATACACAACTCTTCAAAAAATGCTTTCATGTATGTTCATTCTGTGCGATTTTTAGCGGAAGAGGCTACATTTAAATAATTACATGTAGTTTTAAGTGTAAACTAAATATAACAAATATGTTTTTACTGCAAGCAACCCGACTGTCCACTGGAACAGTACAGACCAGCATAATTGACTTACAAGGCCTTGATAATTACAAGGAGCTGTTTATAGCTAATTTATCAGGCCACTCGATTATCTGTTTTAAGAGCTGATTTAGTTGGTTGTGCCATTTCTTCTGTAACAAAGCAAGACTAAAGCACCGGCTCCAAGACATTGGTTTCCCTTTGTAAAACAAGATAATCATTTTTTTAAAAACCTGTAGAGTGTTATGGTTCAGAAAATTGCTTTCGTTTTTATATTTTAACCAAAGAAATGGAGCAATCCTTTTATCTCTGATCTGTCAGATAATGCTTCTCCTTGTCGTTACGCTCATGTGTTCCGTAACCCAAAATCTACTCGTACCTCGATGTGGCCCACAGAGTACCTCACGTCATCATTTAAGAGTCACTTCCAACAAAGACAAACAATCTGACCCAGTGGTTTTAACTAATAAACTGGCTAACAGTCAATGTCAGTCTCTCAAGCAATATTGTGGCAGTTAATTCCAAGGGTTCAAACAAATTAATCGAAAATTTGTCCATGTCAGGGACACACCCCCAATTCACGTTAACTGCTTTACTAGAAAGGCCATGATTGCTGACTGAAAATTTATCATTTAAACGCTGAATAAAACTATGAAACACTAAGGGTCTTCTTACCTGGCTGAGGTTTGGATCAGATAAGTGTGGCAGTTGATAAAACTGTTATAGTACATCACGAAAACCTGTGGTTACATTTACATAAGAAGTTGTAAATATTCTGCAACTTTTTTTTTTTTTTTTTTGTGGTTAAAAGGTAAAATTTACAATTTCATCACAACCATGCACTGGATGAGCAGTTATGAAAGATACATGGATGAATTTACTATATAATGGATGGACTTACTATATATCTTGGTTAAAACAAAATGCACATTTTCCCCCAACTTCACTGGATATAGCTACTAAACCTGTTACTCAGTTTGAAATGAACCTAAGCAAGGTGTTTATACAAGTTTGTTTGGACCCGTGAAATCTGCCGCAAATGTTGCTTGGCAACAGAAATACTTCCGCAGGTCTTATATGGCTGTCCTGCACTGGTTATTTGGATAAAACAGTCCATACACAATTTTTGGTTTGCCCTACTTGGTTTGCTGTTCAATTTTGTGCTATTTTTCAGATACGATTTTTGTCCATTCATATAAAAATACAAATGTAATGCATACAAAAAAACAATGTAGTAACTAATGTAGCTTGTATAAAATAAAATGGGGAACGTTTAAAATAAGTGTTTTGAAACTAAAAACCAGTGGCATAAGCTGGACTTTGTCGCCACTTGAAGACAAGATGTTATTACTTAAAACCACATCTGTGTATCTCAAGGGACTTAATTCAGCTGTCTGTAGTGATTATGGAAATAAAGTTTCTCTTGCTGGAAAAAGGTATTTGTATTTTGCAGACAATTCAGTAAAGTTACTGGCTTTCTTAGTTACAGATGTGTATGTGTGTTTTATTTTCATTTTTATTCATTTTCCTTGGATAGCAACATCACCTTTTAATCAAATGAGTTGGAAACCACAGATATCGCACAGGTATTGTTTGTCCGTACTGTGTATTTCACAATACATTATTCCAGTTTCACTTAATCATGAAATGTTAGACTCTAGTTATGTTCTGATCAGATGCTGCCTTTAGATAACCTGTGACCAGATATCGACCAATCAGGGGCAAGTCGGATTGCAACACATTCCACTGTGCCATCTTTATGGCAGAGCCAATCAGATCTATGCTGGAGGTTGTCAGGCTTGTAATACTATTGGCATTGGAATAAGCAATTTACACAAAAAGCATAATATAGGTACTGTAACAGTTCAATAACAAAACAAAGAAAATATTAAAATATGTGGAACAATGAGATCTTTTTCTCACTGTTTGCATTAAAGTTCATTTTTTGGTATGTATTACTAAGATGTTTCATTGGTGCCACAGAAATGAATAGAACAAATTAATCTGAGGCATGTTCAGGTTTTTAAGCTAACAGCAGTGCAGTACGGAGGGTCAGCACCCGTTTGTCCCATTCTTTCCTCTCTTCTCCCGTTGTCCAAGTCTTTAGTGTCTCCTCCGTTCCCTGGCTGCTATATGGCTCAACATGCTGAGCACGTGGCTACCTCTCAACCCCTCTGTTTTTGTATTTTGTTCCCTAGTGTTTAATTTGTATGAGTTTTCTGGCTCCTGTGTCTTGTGATTTGTATTTGGTTTTGGTTTCATGCTTTGTACCCGTGTTTGTGTTTTTACCTGTCTGTTATTCCCCTAGTGTAGAGTCTGTTTCCTTGGTTCTGTCAGTGTCTTAGTTTTCCCGTCCCAGTCCCTGAGTTAATTAGTTCCACCTGTTGCCTGTTCTTGTTCCTGCCCTTGTGTGTTTTCCTGATTCCTCGTTGTCCTGCACCCTCCCTGATTGGTTAATTGTCTATGTCAGTGGTTCATTGTTTGATGCCTGTTGTCGTGCTTGTTGTCGTGCCTGTTGTTGTGCTTGTTGTCGTCCCTGACCCAATTGTAATTAGTCTTTCTTTATCCCCTTTCGCTTTTGATCCCTCATGGTCCTTTTTGTTTTCTGTAGTGTTCCTAGTGTTTTCTGTTTTTGTTTATAAACCCCGTTTTGTCCTGTGAGCCGCAAATGGGTCGTCCACCTCCTTCCCAGCCTGCACCACGCCGCGCCGTCGCGCCAAATCCGCCCTGATCCTTGACAGACTTTTTTGTTTTGTGTGTCCTTCCTGTGTGTCTGTCTGTGTAATTGTTATCTATTGCTTAAAATGAGGTTAGGGGTGAGCAATTTCATGTTATATCTGTGCAGTCGGGGACGTGATTAAAACTGAAATCCATCCTTCCGTCCGTCCGTCCTTTGCGCATTTCCCCTGGTCAGGGCTACGGGGAACCCTGATAGAGGCTGCCTTAACGTTTATGAATCCGCCAGTGTCGCCCGCCACAGTGCTGGAGTTCCGAGTGCCAATCCTCTCTCTTGTGTCACTCTTTGTAGTTTAGTTCACCAATCGCACATGAATTTGCTTGCATTGGTATATGTGGGGATAAATGCTAAGTTATTATGGCATGTTATAGTATGCAGTATAGCGTTCAAACCACTGAATTAGCAGCTTTATGCATAATAATATTACTTCTGATGCCAAACGACAATAGTTAACAGAAACAATTCCACAGGTCTGTTATATGGCTGTCCTGCACTGGTTATTTGGATAATACAGTACATACAGTTTTTGGTTTGTTGTTCAATTTTGTGCTATTTTCAGATATGATTTTTGTCCATTCATATAAAAATACAAATTTAACACGTACAAAAAAAAACAATGTAGCGATTAATGTAGCTTGTATAAAATAAAATGGGGAACATTTAGAAGTAAGTGTTTTATAACTAAAAACCGGTGGCATAAGCTGAATTTTGTTGCCATTTGAAGACAAGATGCTAATTAAAACCCACATCTCTGTATCTCAAGGGATGTCATTCAGCTGTATGTACCTGTAGTGCTTATGCAAATAAAATAAAGTTTAAAATAAAGCATAGAGCTTAACGAAAGTGAGAGGCTTCGCCTAGCTCTATCAACCAGACATGTTTGAGTCTCTGTCACGCACACCTCGCTTTGGAGTCGCCTGTCCAGCCAGCAAGCCTGGATCTCACAGTGTCCAGTCCAATGGGCTGCTGCATCGGACAGGAGACCTGACAGTAAAGACATCAGAGCCCAGATCGGGGGGACTCTGCGGGGGTTTCAGTTTCCGATAAGTCTAGTTTCAGTCACCCTAAGATTCTTAATCATAACAACATGGTTGTGATTTTTGAGCACAGAATTGCAGGTTTTCTTTGTCTGGACTTGCTGTGTTTTAGTGGTGAACACCTAGATGTTTTCAAGCTATAATAATGAGACAAGCAAGGATCCATGTGTTATAAGAGCCCTTTTAATTCCAATATCACTGTCCAGGAGTCGCGGTGAGAGCAGGTACAGGTAAGTGAAGCAGACCAAATCCAAATGGTCGCGGAGTCAGCGAGAGGGGAAATCGCCGAGTCCGAATCACAGGACAGGGACCAAGGAGAACAAGGAGGAGTGATACACAGACACAGCCACCAAGAACTGATCTCTATGGTGAAACACTCAAATGTTCACAACGATGTATTTGAATACCAGGTGCTTTAACGGCCAGTTAATTATACCAAGCTGACGAGCTGCGGGTGTCATTAGTGCTGCGGGGAGACGGAGCGGGGCCCGGGGTCCGGGGCCCGGGGCCGGCTGGCTGCTCCCTGGGCGTGATGTCAGCGTGACGGCTCCCTCTTCCCACTTCCAGGACTCTTCAGCTTCTCCCTCTCTCACCTTCTGACCTTTTTCCACACTGACATTATAAACGTTATTTTATACACGACTACTATCATTTCTGCCTCTTTCTGTTTTCAGTTTTCTCTTTTCACATCTACGAGTCACATTGGTGCTAAACTGCTTTAGGGAAACGACCTCAGTAAGGGTCTTATGTGACATTTAATTCAGCCGAATTGAATTTCTTGTGATTTATTATAACATAGAGCTCCAGTGTTCTTAAATGAACACAGACCATGCACTTTTTTCCATCTATAGACAGTGTTTGTCTTTCTCTGTCTTCCTTCTATCCGTTCATTCGCCCACGCGACTAACAGTGCTCCTGACCACCTTAGCTGTGGGCCCGTTACGCCGTTTTGCAAGGTGTGCGGAAAACACTCCCCCCCCCCCACCGGCTTCTCCACCGCTCAGCGAAACCCCGCGCCGTAGTGCGGACCACACAGGCGGCCTTCCCGGACCACCCGTGGTGATTGGGGGTGGGGCGCGGGAGTGGAGGCACTCAGGCAGCTGAACAGGTCTCAAAAGGCATATCGATAGCACCTCATAGCAGAGTGCGTGGAGAAGCAATCTTTTTATTTCCTATATGGAAAGCGTGCGTTTTATTTGACTAAAGGAGGCCTCATCATTTATGCTGGATGGGGGCCACAGTAAATGCAGTCCTCTGCAGCAGTTGGCCACCTAATGGAGTTAAATACTTTCAGACCCTCACCTCTGTGTTTCCTGGGCATCAGCGTTTGGGACGAGATGTGTGCCCCACTCGGTGGGAGAGATTGGCAGCCTTTGCCAGTTTGCATGTCACGCATCCAGCCAGCTGGCCAGCAGGGGGCAGAGCCGGCAGTCCCGCAAACCGGCTCCCCATAGCGGCCTGCCCATTTCCTGGCAGCATACTTGCCACCCTTTACCAATCACCACTGTCCAGTTTAGTGTTTCTCAACCCGGTCTTTGGAGACCCCCAGATAGTCCATATTTTTTGCTCCCCCCTGGCTCCGAGCAGGGAGCAAAAATGTAGACTGACAGGGAGCTGGGAGGGAGCAAAAATCACAAATGTGGACTGTCTGGAGGTCCTCAAAGACTAGATTGGGAAACACTGGTCTGTTTTAGCCTAGTGTTTCTTGCAGGCCGGATTCAGTCACTGAATATCTACCCTAACCCTGATCCTAGCCTTGTTGTGTTTGTTCTGTCTGTCCAGTCAAGTCAGTCCTCTCAGCCTGGGTCGGGGTTTAGGTCCCAGAATCAACAGGGTTCTTGGGGTCCCACAGCTGAGAGGGGTCTCTCTCTTTGGGTGCCTCATGCCCTCCCATACTGTCACGTCGCATGTCATATATATTCATAGGCACTATAAAGAAGTCAGTTTAATCTAAGATGATGTCAAGAAATTGACATTAGGTTCCCCAGCAATTCCTAGACACCCACCTGCGTCCCTAAGGGTGAGGGTCATCCACATTTTATTTCACTTTTGTAGATTCCATTTTCACTCCAGTGTGTTCAGGTTAGAAATGCAAAAACTAAACACTGTTTAGGGGAAAGTTTTGTTTAAGCATAAGTTTTCACTCTTGGAATTTGCACTTATTTGAAGATTAATTTAGGCCTATTGCTGGCATGATTATTTAAATTCAGTATTGAAGAAGCAACATTATCATTAATTTAGGGTGCCCACCTAATCCTAATCGGGGTGGACGAGTTGAGCTATGACAGGCTTTTAAAACTACCAGTCGTTTCAATTAAAATGACCTGCATTTCACCTAAGCGCTTCAGTCCTTGCTGTGTGCTGATTGGTCAGTCTCCTATACTCATGCATGTGTCACTAATGCTAACGTGAAACAGCCGGATGAGTCTTTCAATCAAGGAAACAAACCAGTCAAAGCACAAGGAAAACTGAACTAATTGGCCGAGCACAGGAGCCTTTCAGTTTGAAAGTAGTTTGTAAAACCTGAAGTAGCTCAGCGTCCCTCCTGACATGGATTAGGCGATCACTCCACATTAATGCCGTGATATGAATTTTTATTCTTCATAGGGCAGATTTCAATAAACACTGAATTTGTACATTAAGTTAAAATTTTCTCAAATGGTTTAAGTCGGTTTTATATTATCTTTGTTCAGCAAACGCAGTTGATCCTCCCTACGTTCAGAGTTAGGACAAACTTCCACCAGACGAGGGCGCCAGAATTCAATTGCCTGATATCAAGGCCTGCGAATGACGTGTATGTGAGTCGCAGAACCACCGGGCGTTTGGTCTGTTAAAAAAATAACATCAATGAGCACGCGACAGCCATTGGAGCCGTCGACAAGTGTATAACTTTTCGTAATAAGAATAATCATTTTTTTTTTGTGGGGGGGTTCTATGCAGTCCCATTTGTGAATTAGCTTACTTGAAACCTTGAACCTCTGATCGTGTCACCTGACAATGCAGCATAACTACCAGTATGTTACGAGGCAGATTATATGGTGGTCGGGACATCCTGCGAATAGATTCCTGCTAGGAGGAATATATCTGAAAAATTCGACCTAAGGAACTATTACACTAGCGAAAGATATCACCTACAAATATCAGTATCTTTAAAACGGTCGGTACCTCAATTACTTTTTTCACGCTATATGTTCACTTAAAGTCACTATAATTCCATTAATTGACGGTTATGCCGTTTTGGTTAGTCAAACTTTCATGAGTAAGGAAAGGCAGTAAGGAAAACGGTACTTTACAGCCTCCTGATCTGTTTGTATTTCTTATATGGCTGGGATGGCTGAGATTTCGAAATACGCACTAAACATACATGCAAAATGTTCCCGTCTATAAGTTATATAAAATATAATGACTATTGTAAACCAACAAGTGAATTACACATTTATTGCGTCACAAGGAAACATTACTTAATGTTTTATCATATATGAGCATCATTCTCTCAGTTTAAACTAATATATAACACCACTACAAACACTGAGTTTTAAAAATGTGGAATCCATCGATATTCGGCGGTTTTTTTTTTTAAATCTCGCGAGTGTAATAATTATGCACCACTAGAGGTCGTACGAGCATTTAAAACTATTCTACCCATTTTTAAAATTGTTAAACAGCGGATATTTTCACAAATTACAGGCACATTTCGATGGCATTTTTTCTTGTTTTAATTCTTCCAACCCAAGTTTCTCCGAGCTGCATCAACTCCTCAGTCACACGAACAAATTCCTAGAAATATGATGAAAAAGAAACAGATGCGTAAAACACCGGACATAGACTTTTCCACCCCAATGATTCGTATATGCTCATTTATTTTACGTATGTACTCCATTATAAGTAACAATGACGTGCCTGACGAAGAACATAACAATTACTGTGAATACAGGGAAATGCAGGCTACTTGGTGACGATGACGTCTTGTACTGCACTGTTTCTTACTGAGATTTTTGCATGACTGAACTGTCGATTAATGGAATTTGCATGTTCCATTCTTCATGAATCTGCTTGCTAAATATGATTGACCGAATGTGCATTAAAAAAATCCAATTCGCTGTAAATTAAATGCATCTTAAAAAGAAATTATAATAGGCTACTAGTAATTTATATTTGGACCAATAAATCGTGTTCTCTCAGACTGAATGACAACCGTCAATATATAGTGAGCAACCATTTAGAATACTACACTGAAAAAATACTTGACAGCGAATACTCGAACGAATATTTGTACTGTCTGAAAATGCAGGGCATTCTACCTGTTTGCTTGCGGTCGATGAACGTGATGCACTTTTAATGTCATAATATACCTTTTCGAATAGCTTAAGTGAGATACTAAAAAATAATCATGACACGTTTAGAATGTGTACTTTCGATTTTGCTCTTTAAACTACTATAGAATAAAATACACCTTCGGCACTTATTAACATTATCAACTGCCTCTCCTGTAGTATGGATTTTAAAACTAATTATTTATGAAAAATGCATATGTGTCGCGTGATCACTAATATCCTTGCAAGTCAAAGGAATGTTTTCACGTAGAACATACATATATCGTTAATTTATCTTACATATGAAATATTCAGTAGGCCTATCTTCAATTAATAATATTGCATTCGTTTATTTTTTCCGTATAAAGAACCAAAATGATAAGTTACACATTTCGGACGCATAGTACAGTTTCCTTTTAATTTATGATGGTGTATTGCAATACCTGGAGATAATATTTAACAGAAATATATTTATTCAGAGTATATATACTTTTAATTTTATCTATAAAATCAACTCCACTTAATGCAGCTTCGCATGCAACTTGCACAATGTCGCACGTATAAAATGGGATTTTATTTTTCTAATTAAAAAGGGTTCATGAAATGTTGATGGAACGATGAATCCAATTATTTTTAGCACCTGGTTTTATGTAACAAATACCAAAATGACATTTTCATTCGCATTAAGAATTGGAAAGTTCGTAAAGCGCACAGGTAGTATTTCATATACAGGATCTGAATGAATAAACCAAGTCATCTAAATATATGCTACCGCAAAACAACATTTCATTATACTAGCCGAATAAGTGTAATCGGTAATTTTGTGAAATCGAGCCGGTCTGCACAGTGACATTTCCCAGTTATATTCTACTGTTAGTTGCCTTTTCGAAGTGATTAGTGTTAAAGGGATTTAGCATTTAATAAAGTGCGAAATACTGCAATCCGAAATTTACAAAGCAGAGTACTAAAGCATGCATTCCCGCATTATTCAACTATATTTGTGTGTTAGATAAAAATGAAGATTTAAAAGGTATCATCCCAGGTCAAATTTATTGGTTATAAACAAAATCAGCAGATTGATAAATTGCGAATATGCAAATAAACATGCGTCATTTATAAGCCGATTAAGCGAACATCATTAAAATTGATCAATAGTAATAACCGAAATAAAAATACTCTTATTTGAAATTTCACAATCTACGTTTTTTCTGGCGTACAAAACGTGTCAATCAGTGCGCCAAACTGTTCCGGAATTTTCAGTAACAGACATGCAGACACATGTGAATCTATTTATTACTTTTTATTATTCAAACCAAGTAAGCTAGATTTTAACGAATATGTTATCCTTAATGCATGAGTTGTGAACAAATTCTGACGATCTTTGAGGTACATTAAAGAAATTTTACTTAAAAAATTCGCAAAGCACTTCCCTTGATACAATTTTTATGTTAGCGGACTCTGTCCACTGGATGTCGCAATCAAGCAGCAACCAGCTTACTATGCTTACGAATTCAAGGTCTTTCTATGAAAAACTTACCAAATTTGCACTATTAAAACAGTCGTTTCCAATGGTACGTTACTGTCAATGTATTTTTTTTTAATACTGAAATTATGTGAGCCTCAAAAGAAAACTTAAATAGAATTTAACACGAGTAAGGATAGTAATGAGTAACGAGACATTTAAAATTGGTGAAAACACTAGCTGTTATTTTTATGCTATTTTACGTTTTCATGATATGGTTCGTTCGATGGTTTAATTATTACCGATGCATCGTATTCAGACCGACTGCTTTCCGATTTGCTATATAGACAAATCTTCCTTACAAAAGCATTTAGCAACTGAAGAAAAACAGTCACTCCGAAAATTTTGAATAAGTCTATTTTGAGGAAAACAAAATGTTCAACAAAAATTTAACTAACCTATCTTTCAGAAAATTCCAGTAAGGAATGATGCTGATGATGTTTATTTAGAAAGAAAAAAAAACACAATATTAAAAAAGTTTTCAAACGCAATAAATCAATTTCTGAATCTGATTCACATTGTATTTAAAAAAGTATATATATATATATATTTCCTTGAGTATCTTATTACATCATTGATTTTGAATTCAGATGTTTAACTGTAAAACAACTTCGTGTAACATCATAAAAAGGGTTAGGAATTACAATAATCGGCTAGTTATAACCCGAAATCTATGACGTATTGCAGGAAACAATGTATCACCATGTGTAATTTTTCTGTGTATATCTTTATATATAGTGAAAAGGCTACTGGGATTAACATAAAGGCCTTAAAATAGAATTCATCATTTAAAAAACAGAAAACAATAGACGATTATATAACTTAATAAAGAATTAGGAATAAAATCGGCATACTACAAATTTGGGTGAAACTCTTTCATCTCCTCTTCATAGGCTGTGTGTCTGAAGCCCTGACTTTGGTCTCATTATTCGTTTGGCGTGTGTTGCTATTTTGATCTGAAGTGAATATGCATCAATATGGTAATATATCGCCAGGTCTGTCACATTACCGCATTCAATCCACGTGCGACTGAACTCTAAGAAGCCAGCACGACGATTAGCTGGAGAATTTTACAAATGGTGAGTCATTTTAAATGCGGGATATTAGTGTGTAAAGACAGGTGAGCAAAAGCTACGTATAAATTGCGAGTTCTTTTTTTTTTCTACATCTTACTCCTTGTCAAACAAATGAGATGTCAACGACAGTTTTTTTCCCCCCCTTTGCAAAAAAAAAATGCCTCTGCCTATCAATCTGACCACTTCTAGCCTGCTGGTGACACATCGTATGATCATGTCTGAGCGCAGGTTTCGCAAAATACATTTGGCGGAGTAACAAGACGAAACTAGCACCATAAGTAGCGCCGTATGCAACTCTGCATCTGAACACAACTGAAAGACGTTTGAAATTAGCAAACAATAAGGTAAGTTAAAACAGTGGCAAACTTCGGGGCTAATTTTTGTTCAACATACTACAAATAACCATTATAAAAATTGTTCAACTATGCTCTTAAAAACTAAAGATAGAGAACAGAATATTTAACCTAGCCGAACATTAAGTCACGCATAGGCTACACGGTGAAGTAATTGGGACAGACAGAGAGCGAAACACAGGAATGTGTTAAAACGGATTGGTTTCCCTTCTGCACTAAAATATTCAGACATATACAATTAGCAAAAAGAATACAAGGTTTGTGAGGTCATGTCTACTTGGAATGTTTTATTTGCCTTTGCATTACAGAGCTAATGCAGTAACACAGACGCTAAATGCTGCTTGCCCATTACGGCATCAGATCTTTTCGCAGTAGGGTAACCTGAAAATGCAGATGCCTTTGTTTATAATTTAACATTACTTACACGTAAGCAAAATGGAAAAAACGAGTTTGCTTCTCTTTGCAGCTACATTTAATAGATTGCTCATTATTAAACGAAGAGCATTGTGCTTTACGTACGACAAAGCATTTATTCACCGCAATTACAGAGCATACATTTAATGTGCAGGAATATGCTTCTGCGTATGCAAATTATGCAAAATTGTCAAAAATGTTAACTCTGCCAAATTACAAGTGAAATTCTAAAGTCAGCAAATAAAGTAAATATAAATCTACCTCACAAATGCATCAAAATAAAAAATAAAACAGACGCAGGAGCCAACGGCGTCAACCTTGTGAGAACGGCGCGGCAGATGTCTCATTATGCATAGACGATTTTTCCAACGGGATTCTCCGCTTCTGCCATACGCGACATACTCCTGGATTCGCAAGGCGCCTGGTACAGTTAATCGGAGCTACGAAAGGTTACGAAAAGAAGGAAAAATAAAAGAATTTTAGAAAGGAAAAAGCAACTGAACCACCTTTAAAACGCTAATGAAGAAACAAGAGAATGTTCGGGAGCATTAGTCCGTCTGCTGGGAGAAAGACTATGCGAGCTGGATTTGCATATTTTGATGCACTAATTTGCTTGATGTATTTAAATATGGCTGCACGTAGCAAATATTCCGAGCTACGTCATTAGACGTGACCTCGTTGTAAAACCTTCTCGTGGATCTGATCAAATCAGACGGATTAGCCAGCGATGACAAGTAGGAGTATGTAAAAATCAGAACCTGAAAACAGCACTAAATCAGAATTTGTCTGGAAAGTTTGCAATTATATTGATATATTTAATCAAGAGCAACACACACCGGAGACATTGTACAAAACTCAATATATGCAGGACATACACATATTTTATGTATTTCAAAATTTAATCATTGGCGACTGTGAAAAATATTAGATAATATATATTAAATGTTAATAGGATTATTTATCGACATTAAGTAATAACGCAAAAGGTTAACTGTAATCCCAAATGCATTGTTACACTAAACCTATAAAAAATATACGAATTACTGACGAGTTTTGACTTTATTTTAAAACGAACATCTTGATTTTTGGTTAAGAATTAATTAGACTAATGTAATCTTTCCTACTTAAAGTCATGTTTAGCCGTCTCGAAATTAAGGCATTTTAGAAAATCGTATACAACTGAAATAACGTATGATAAAATGTACTATTGCGATGTTCTTACTACATGTGCTGGGAAAAAATGATAACAACAATAATAACCACTTTAAGAAGAAGAAATTGTTCGCAAACAAAAAGGGAAATATTTTGAAAACTATAGTTAAATTAAGTTTTCCCTGTAATATGTATTTTATGTCTTACAGTGGGACACTTTAAGTCAAAATGTCAAAATTCGCTTTTTAAATGCTCTGCCGGCCAAAGGAGCTCAGTGAATATTCGTTATTTTTACAGCAGTCTGTGAAAGACGAAGTAAATGCACAATGGGTGTTCAGTTTATATACAACAAAAGATTTGGAGAACTTGTTTGAATTTCTGAGCACGCCCTTCTCTATAAGGAGGGGTGGACTGTTCTGCGGCCAGTCCCCCAAAACTAGCTCACTCTTAGCTCAACACTTCACTTTTCAATTTGTTGCGGAAGACAAATGAGCTGTTGGGAAGTTTTTTTTTCTCCTTTCTTTCCTTTTTTAAGTCGCTTCTTCTTTCTCGCCTTCATGTGGTTGGAATAATGTTTCTGCGTAACTCGATGCAACTGAACCAAGCGAAATGAACCGAAAATTAGCGGCAATTTTAAATGAGGGCGAGACGAGGGATGGCTGGATATTCCCGAGGAGTCGAGAGAGAGCCTTGCACATGTTTGAAGAACTTGATTTTTGGATGCTTTGCGACGTGGGGAGTGTTCCAGTTAAATCAGCTGTTTACAGTATACTGTCGTATGGCATACATTTGATTGTGTAAGTATACATTTACTTGTGTGATGCTTATGTGTCCGCATATGTGATATTACTAATAATTCATCAATTACCTGCTATTTTACATTGACGTTCTGAAGACTGTAAGCGATATTTTAATGGGAGAAAAGCATTTAATATATTAACCGTGTTCTCTGAGATGGGAATGGACCATCATTCGGCCACAACCATCGGCACCAGCCTGGCTGCCATTCTGCAGCTACACAGGGCTGTTCAATAGGCCACAGTTCATGACTGAATGAGGCAGAAACTGAGATTTAAATTCTATCAATCTGAAATGAGAGTATTGTGTTACATTTAAAATATAATCGAATATACTGCAATATTATTGATATTTGTGTAATAATAATAGGGGTTTTTAGCATGTTTTTTAGCATTTGATTAGAACATCTAGCACCAATAGCTATATTAATGATTATTAAACATGTGCAAATTATAGGAAGGGAATATAAATTATGATATTACGATGGTTATTGCTTAATGATTACAAAACTATAATGGCGTGTGCTCACGTTGTACATTGGACAAAATAACGCTGCATCTTACATGTTGAAGACAGTTTATTAAAGTCAGACATTTATAGCGTTTGCGATCTATGAAATATCCACTCCTTTCCACAATCACGGTGACGTCATACATGGCATGATTGAATATAACACCACATTAATTGTCGCCCCCTGTGACGTCGCCTGCAATTTCCCCCTCTTCGTCCCAAGAAAAAATTAACGTTACACATTTTAATGAAATTTCAGTTTTATTATAAGGCCTATACACACACGCGCGCGCGCGCGCACGCACACACACACGCATAAATGTGTGCGCGTGAAAATGATACAGTAAGAATAGACATATAAGATACATACATCTTAAAACGTTTTATAGGCCTATGCATTTTTTAATATCCTGCATATGTAAATAAAGTACAAACTGACACAGAATTGTGTTATTGATTCATATGAGCGCCTGTGTGCACAAATCAGCTGTCGAACATTTTAAGTCGCCTATCTTGAGCTCTTCAAGGACTAGCAAAATAAGGGGGTATATATGTCGTCATGGCCTTGTTTTTCTTGGAATTGCCACTGACGGAAGAACCAATAAGGAGTACAGTAGCAAGTTAACATTTACGGCGCAAGTGCGCAACTTGCATCTGTGTTACGCCCCCTATGTTAATTATAATTTGGGTCCAGAACTGAATGAACTGAAATCTCCTGGTGAATATCTGTTGGATTCGCTAGCCATTAGTCTACAGCAATACCACTTCTTCAAATGTGATACTATACATTTTGAAGACAATAAGCGAATATATTCACTCCAAACCTGGATGTATAACGGCGCAACAAAATTCCGACTAATATGGTATTTCAAAAAATGTCAAATTATTCCTTTGTTGCTGTACGTCCTTTTTGGATATAAATATTACGCAGGCTTTCTCCATTAGGATATACCTATATAATAATACGGTCACGTAAGTGCGCCGTTAATCACCGAATTCTTAATGTATTTAAATCCTTATGACGGTGCTCTTTGCATATCGTAAACCTACACAGTGGCACCAAAACAATGATAACAACAACAATAATGAAAGATTTTTATTCGTGTTCCACACTTTCAGATGCTGAAGTGATAACGCGCACGTCCGTGACAAGGACCGAGTTATATTAGGTTACTGTTGTTATATTTAATAGACTACAATCATCACAATGACTTGGGTTCTTCTCGCGCTCTCTCTCTCGCTCTCTCTCTCTCTCTCTCGCTCTCTCTCTAGCTGTGTTGTGCGTGTGTGTGCGTGTAAATGCGCACACGCCAAAACGAAAATACCTCAACCATAACTGCATAGAAATACCTAATTGTTCTTTGAAACATGCACATAAAATAATGCCGTGCAATGAGACGCCTGCAAGCATGCCAGTGTATTGAGTGTGCTTAAGGCAAAAATCGTATTATTGTGATTGTGACATCGCCATCGATACCTATACAGAGATGCAGTACATTCTTGTTAATAAATGAAATAATACCTTTGCAGAGAAAAGGGGATTTTTATACAACCGTTTACGGCACTCAGCGTGGGTGTTATTAGTAATAAACAATAAAAGGAATAAAAACCAACGATCAGACTACTGATGTAATAATGCGCAGACTCATAGCATCGCTTAAACGCATTTTAATAAACGAGGCCCGTCAATTTAGGCTATATATTGATTCTTACCGCGCGAAGAGAAGGCTACAAGCTTCATTCAGGGTATACAGAAAATCCTCATGCGTGATGACTGTTCTGAGGTACCGCCGTTATCCCTTATGCTCCAAATGCTGCGGGGAAAATACTCGTTTTTCCAGCGCACTTGCCAACGCTGGAGCGCATCGCTGCGCATTCATAAATAAGGCTAAATATAAACAGGTATTTAAGAATCCTCACGACATCATTAGCGTACACTCCCCCAGTATGAGACCTTTGACCTCGTTCATATTTTGGAACCGCAAGCCCCGTCATCCCCCCACCCCCGCTCCTCAGTGATGGCCCTATTCTCGGTCTTTCACACCGCTGGTCGCGGTTCGGGAGTCTTCGCACACCGCGTCCTCGCAGATGGATGCAGCGGGACCCGGCTCTCTCTCTCCCGCAAACACATGGCTGTTACTGCGGTCCAGCTGCAGTCGTTTTGGCAGAAATACATTCCCTGCATAACCAGAAACGATTGCGCGATGCTGCTGTTTTATTATCTCTGCACAATCCTCCGGATCGGTTTCTTTTTTTCTTCCGTTCTCTTTTTTTGAACAGCATATTAACTTGGCTGGCTGGCGATGCAGGATATTGTTCGCACCATAACGTGTTAAAAGGAGTTAAGAAGCCACACGAGAATGAAGCTGTTTATAATGCAAATGTAGGCCTGTTCAAAGATGGATGAACCTAAATCCACAATCCTGATGCTCATTATTATAAAGCCACTTTTGTTTACTTCTTTACAGTTTAATTACCTGGATTATGTATTTGGTTAATTATAAAACGCTTCAAAAGTTGGACTCGCAACTTTGATGGACAGCTGTCACAGCAGAAGGTTGGTCCTCGGTGGGAATAAAAATCTTCAAAAGGGAGATGAAGACACTTTTTAAAAAGGAATTTCAAAGCAAAATTAAATGAAACCTGGGATACAACTGAATGATGGGAAGTACGTTGTTATCTTTGGTTATCTAGCTGTATGAGTGTGCTCGTCGTCATAAAGCTAGATAACCGAAAGTAAAAACTGCTTCCATTTTCACCGCGGATTATGGAAATTACGGAACTGTTTTCAAAGGCGGGAAAACTTTTACATTTTAAATGATCGGGGGACCTGAACTTAACACATATAGACGGCATTGAGATGAAGAGATCTGAACCCTCAAAAATCTGGCGTTAATTGCCGCAGATGCCGCCTCCTCCTTGTCGTGGCTTAATTGCTAATTCTTGCGCGGCGCTGAGCAGGGGCAGCGCACGTGCGCGCTCCCCCCATCTTTTTGGGGGCGATCAGCTCTAAGAAAAGGCGTCGGCATCCCAAAGTAATTACGGCGCGAGTGAAAAACTGGAATGGCGCAGAGAGAGCGGTGTCGGTCTTTCTTAATTGATTCCGTTAAACGGACTTGCAGGAGATGTGAACGGCTGGAGCCTCCCATTCCCACGCTCGAGGGCAAGTGGCAATGTGGTGCTGGGGCCGAATATGACAGACAGAGATGGGGGTGGGGGCGACCTAGGTCATGGAAAAAAAAACACCAAGTGCACCCGACTCATCTGCATCACTTTAGAAGGCGGCGCCGTTTCCCACCCAGAGCAGACGCGGGTCTCGGAGCTAGAGTGGCAACAGTTTGAATGTGCGATAGTGAAGTGTGTTTGATAGGGATGGAGGACCTGGAGGGATTATTGGGTGATAGACGTGACTGGATTACGGAGTGTGACGGGAATAATGTTATAGCTTTGGTTTTGTTTATGAAGTTAGTGCACAAATGAAACAGGGAATTATTATTGTAAAACACATTTCACGACTAAACACTCAACGAATTTTTAAGTAAAATGACGCTTTACAACAAAATATATTTTATTTAAAGCTGTTAAAGAGCCCAAAGTAATATAGTATTATTAGTACTAAAATTACTAGTATTATTATGACTTAAGTACAATTTTGGTAATGGTTGATCGAAAAATGAATACGTAATTGCATAATGTTCACTGCGTCTTACAAATGTTGATAAAATAAAACAGCCTTTACAAGTAAAAGGAAATAATTTGTTCTTTGAACAACAGTACAGTATGCATATTTGTAATATCTGGGAGTGAAGCAATATTTAATTCATTTTCTGAATGGGTGTTTAAAGAAGATGCTCTTTCTTCAGGAGCAGATGGCCTGGAGTAATTTGGACTTGACCGTGAGAACACGTGTCTGACCCTTTGTGCCCGGCAGACGGGCGTTCTTAGTTTATTTGAACCGTTTGAGGCATTAAAAGCCGTATTTACTTTTTAGTGCAGCAGTATTTTATTTATTGTGAATCTCAGCAGTAGCGAATGGCCGATCATATATGTGTGTCTATTTTTATTATTATTTTCAAAATTGTCGGGTAAGATTAAGTTATTAAAATATACGTTTTCTTCTCTTTATTGTTATTATTATTATTTTTTAGCTTTAGTTTACTTTTATGTTATTCATTCGTTTTATACTTTCGTTATATTACCATCTTTAGTATAATTTCACCCAAGCCATATATGGTAAATTATATTACTGTTTCGTATATAAGCAATAAAATTGTTATTTCTGACGATCTCATACACTGTATGAATTTCTGCGTGTTTGAATTGTAGGCTATATAATTAACACGTTTCTTTTTCAGATACACTCCCTGTAATATTTTGTGATACTAAATACTTAGACTATAACCTGTCATTAAAAACTGTGGAGTACTGATGACTTGTCTAAAGCAGGCTTTGTAGCCTATTCGAGTCAGGCGGTAAACGAATAAAAATA